TGATGGATGATGATGATTTTGGTCTAGCTTCCAAAGACTGCTTAGTTTTCGTCATCTTCCTAATTATGATCTGTCGCTTTCCCGATCGTGAAAGAATGATGATGATGTTGGTCTAGCTTCCAGAGACTGCTTAGTTTTCGTCATCTTCCTAATTATGATCTGTCGCTTTCCCGAGCAATCGTGAAAGACCACCAGATCCCCGGACACAGCCAGCTAGCTACGGCAAGCCAGGCATTAAATTTTACTGGACGCCTGTGGCGTGTATTCTTTACACCTTATCAACTGGACTAATACTTGAACCATATTTTGTACGCCGACTGCATGTGACAGAAATCCCTTGAGCATGAACTATTTGGAGTTGTGTGTGGCATGTACGTATGATTATCTGCCTCACAAATCATTTCTGTTCCATCATGATCTTCTCTCTAGTTCAGAACTGCGTAGCAATCCAGAAGATTTGAAGCAGAAATGAACTGTTGGATAGGAATTGTTTCTACGTTGTACACGATCAACTCGTATCTCAGTGGAGGCATAGTGCATGAACAAGTAACTGGGTCCATTATCATGGCCGGACTAAAATGTAGTTTACGAGTGCGGTGACCACGTGACATCTTCGGCAATGAGCATTTACACAAATCTTGCTATTTTCGAAAGGAAGAAGGTCTTTGCTGCCGTTTCCTTCGCGGCGACCCAGTCCATCTTCCGAGGGCTCCTTCTGGCCGCATACAGGGCAACCTTGGCCTCTGAGGAGGGTCTTCAGCGCCGCCAACTTGCCCCGGCTGGTCTCCAGTCCAGCAGCCTCTACAATCTCCTCGAAGTCCTCCACGAAGGTTCAAACACCCCCATCCCCATAGGGATGTTCATGCCTATCCTGGTCATGGCACCTAATAAGAGGGAAAAGGCCCTCGCCGGCGGGTTCCTTTTAACACCAACTCAACTGAACAGTTACAGCAATTGAACAGGGAAGCAAAACTCTCCTATGCATCTTGTTTATCAGAACTGAATATCCATCGTCTTCTCGAACTTTCCGAATGCTCACTGACTAGGAATTAAACGTAAACGAATGCTATAAAGCAATTCCAAAAATCTCAGTTATCGATAGACGCACTTTTCAATTGACTCACAACCAGTTTCATCAACCAGCTGTGGATTTTATTGATCAGATGGCGAGTTAGGGGAAGTTAACCTTGCTACAGCTAGAGTGCGTTTTAGTGTGTCAACATTGGTCTACCGAAATTCCGCTTCATTGTGTGCAGTGTTTTCCACATGGTCGTAGGTCTGATGCGATCAGTCAAACAGATCAAAGACACTGATCCAGTAAACGCCTGAGAGAATGAAGTGGGAATTCAGGAAAATGGTGGAAGATCCCAGACAACCAGATATTGAGATCCTGGGAACAAATCTGGCGTCAAGTTCCCTATTAACATTGAATTGTTATCGCCCGTGGCGTAAGAATCATATTTCAAACGGGAACAAGCATGTGTATCACACAATACGATAGATAATTGTGCGCAATATACTACTGAAAAAATGAAGAGTCAGCCTAAAATTTTATGGGATGTCATTGAAACCAGGAGTACGGTCGCTCCTATCAAATGGAAACGACTCCCAGTGGTTGATTTTTTGACATGGTTCCACAGACCGATGCCATAGGCAGGTCTGAATGAGGTCTTATGTTGAATTCATTTTGTCCGGTCATTCCTGTTGACTGACACAGATGCATTAACTTCACTTTTCCGAATTCACTTCTGAGTTCTTGCTTACCTCTCCTGTGCTAGGCCACCGGATTTACACAAAAGGAACTGGATGAAGCAGTTATGCTCTTACGCGAACAAAAGATGCAAAGTACCAAAGAAGAGGTCGAACGAGGATTCAGTTCCTATCAAACCAAAGACCAAGGAGCCAATGGTACATTGCAAGCTGTATAAATATTCAATGACATTATATGTTCACGGAAACCCAGTTGCGAAAGTTTGTTGGTTTCTTCAACTGTTAGCAAATGGTTGACTTTCATTCAGCAGTATCGTCTTACAGTACTTGCTTTCTAAGTTTAGTTTATTTGGAATCCAATATGCTCTTTCTCCGTTGTGGTGGACCCTTGGATGGTTTGTTTGACAGGCTCTTCTTGTAAGAAACGCCAATAAGAACACTCAGACTTCTAGTACTCGGAGATTTTGAAGGCGTACTCGTGGAAAACTCGGGCAAAGTTGTAAAGGTGTTATTCTGTCTTGTAAAAAGGTCACCCGGTACTTTTGAGGCGCAATTTGAGATTTCTCAGTAGATTTCTACCAAGGCAACTACCCTTTGTACAACACATTCAGTTGAAGAATGCCATAAAAGAGAAATTCAACAGAATCCTGCTGAATCTCTCGTTACTACTCAAATAGTAGGTGAGCGAGCGTACTTCACGAATTTCTTGCAATGTTGGTGCAAACTGAACATAAGGTGAATGCATTCAACTGATGAGCTCCAAAAGGGACAAAATTGTCTTGGGCTGTCCAGAAGTTTTCAGCAACTTTATGAGTAGTATGTTGTGTCATTTATCGATAAATTCGTTTAGTCTCTCTAACCTAATCATTTGATGAGATATAATAAGCACCAAATCTTGGAGGTTTTCAGAATCCAAACATAGTTTTTCTCATTACATTGTGTGTGAGGGTATCACTCACGTGTTACCTGAAAGCTCAGATCTGGGTGACTAATACATGGGAAACCATCTACTCCCTACCCAAACTGACTCTCGGCCTAAACAAACATTCATATTTTCTGTCTTATCTGATTGGTATTCGAAGCCTTACTTGGTTTCCGTTCTATAAATTGAGTTTGAAATTTCGTCTAACTCGAAAAGGTGACAAATTTTCAATAGTTAGTTTGGATTGGAGCACTAAATTCAACCTTCTGTAGGCTTTGTTTCTTGAAAACCAGAAAGTTCTTCGTCTAACAACTTTTCTGTCCTGACAGATTATTATTCTTTTTTCCATATGAGAAGGGACTACTTTTACTAAAATTTTATGTCAGATGCTGTCTTAGCTTGCACTTTAATTTTTCACCACCAGTTTTAATCTTTCAGCTATCCGGAGTTCGTTAGAGGCCCTAAGAAATTGGTTCTTGTTGCAGAATCTCCCACAATGTTTCTGGAAGGAATTTTAGAAAAACAGTGGCATACTTTTCCCTTGAATAGAGAAAAATGTTCGGGTACTGGATGGGCACACCTAACTATTCAACCAAAAGATTCTCAGTAGGGTTTTTCAAGACTCCTACTGGAAGATTTATTTCACCAACTCGTGCTTGAGAAGTTTGATTGGTTTTTGAAGAACCATGTTACAGCAGCCAAATACTTCGTGAAGGCTTTGCGTAGCCAAACCATGTAGTGAGCACCAATCAGCCTGTCATGGGAATGGCGAAAGGTTAGAGCTACAGCCGAGTTCGTAGGAGGAAGCTTGCTATCGTGTACATTTGTGATCAGCAGACATTGCTGTTTTTACTAATAAAGAACCTATTCAAATTGTTATGTGCAGTCCGGCCAGATGGATGTCACTTTTGTGTCGTCGCGGACGCGCCGCTTTGTTCACCGCAGCAGGACTGCTGATCTGAGGTTTCGACTGTATCCAGGCCTGTTCAGTCACCCTATATCAGATGAAACCGATGAAGACTAAGGCGGACATGCTGTGCGATCGGTTGCTAAACTCGTTTATCTGGGATAGGTGTTGGTAAGACCCCGATGATGATGTTGTTTCCTGCATAACTGGTTAGTAATCATCCATATTTGTGACCCATTCCACCACTAAAGGCATCTTACAACTTTCTAAAAGTCAAACCAATGCTCTTATTCGAATAAAACAATGTGTGGCTTCACTTGAAATTGTCTCCCCAAGGTTGGAGGATCATGCTTACCGGAGGAGTTATTGTTCCGAAATTTGTACATTGCCCCCAGAGTTGGGGAAGTGGAGACTGGGTGATAGCCCGAATAGTAATCACAAAATAACTTTCCGTCTGCCAATCCACCGTCCTTTTTCCCAAAACTATCACTAAAGGATGGGTAGCTGGGGGAAGCAAAGTGACAGGGCTATTCTGAGGGGTGCATTTCCTTCCTCAAGGGGAACATCTGTATGCACTGTTCATGCCAGAGGTCTTTATCCCTAGGGGTTCTTGCTGGGAAGTACGAATTTCTACTTTCGTATCAACGCACAAGTTAATGTGTGGCTTAACAACAGTGACTTCACTGGTAACTTGATGCCTGAAAAGCCAGGATTCTGATATCTCCGTGCATTGTGGGAACTAAGGAGGCCATGAGAGGAAAAACAAATTGGGCCAGTCCCAGTTAGTCTCAGATGAACGTTCTCAACTAGGGCTGTTGTTTTATACTGTGTTCTCCAATATCAATTAGGCCTAATTATAAGGGAATACATGCAAGTCACGGTCTTCGGATTTTCTCCTTGCGGTCAGCGGAATGGATCAATGGGAGAAACGTGTCCACTCTGCTCATCTGTTAGAGCAAACTAGTTCGTGGGTTTATTAGTTCACTAATTAGCTGAGTAGGGCTTGCCCGACGAACACAGAATCACACGGCCTTGGACAAACTGAGCGATGCTCACAGCTTCAACAGTTGTTCAGACGATCCATTTACTGAGCATGCTATTAGTCTGAAAGTGTTCCGACAGCGAACATCTCCACTTCGTCTCTTCATGCATCAATAAGCACCCCGATTCAAGGTCATATGTTATCGCGTGAGATGGATTGTATAAATCACTGTAGAGTAAAATTGCGTCAGCAAATAACTACACGAAAAACCCCACACTCGGTAAAAACTTATTCCGTTCGGTTAGACTCTCCCAGTGAAACGCTTTATTGTCCTTATAGTCAGAGGTTTTTGGGTGAACTACTCTGCACGAAACACGAAACATGAACTTGATTAAAGGAAACTACTTCACAAGGTTGCTGAAAACTCTTCGACAGCCCACGACCGGTTTCGCCCTTCCAGTTCGGGCTCATCACGTGGGCGCAGACCCCGAGTTTCCGTCAA